ACATCTGCTTTAATAGTATTATTTGCATATCCTGTCATAACACCACTCTGTACTATATAAATGCTGATATCCTCCTCTGTTCTTGTCATTACACCATAAACTTGAGGTCAGGGATTTCATTTTTGACTTTGTATTCCCATCATCTAGTACATGTGAAGATATAAGAACTGGGTAAATGAATGAACAAAAAAATGTTACATGGATGAATGGGTGAAGAACTGTAATAGAGAGTAAAGCATGAAAAGTTCTCCAAAGGAACAGTGAAAGTCAGGAAAGGTTGAGATCACTTCAGATTCAGAAATCATGGAAGGGTTGCTTCAGTGAGGAGCTTAAGCTTGATTTTGAAAGGTGGGTTCAGACTTAATCAGGTGGAATTGGAAGGATAGGCCATACAGCAGAAAAAATGATGATGATGTAAACAAAGGTACAGATAATGGTTGGGATATGGCCAGAGTTACGTAAAAGAGAAGAAAAGAAGTTGTAAGGCTTGTTGTGCCAAATTGTAGATTTGGCTAAGTAGTTTAGATTTAGTAAGCAGTGGCGATGCCCTCAGGCAGTCTAATAGTGACTGCCCTGTCAAGTATATCATTTGGAAAAGAAAAATATGCCAAGGACAATAAAAATATGCTAAGGATAACGTAAGTTCAAGGTAACTCGGTCAAGAAAATCACCTCCTTAAGTATTATTCTTTTCTTTGCTGGATCAAGACAGTTGATCTTTATATAACACACTTGTGAAAGGATGTGTCAAAATATGAAAATACGTAGAAATTCTCTGATTTGTATATCTTCTGCCAGTAGAAGAGTCCACTCTTCCTTGATGGTGACAAAAACAAACCAAAAGTGTCAGAGAGCTCAGTCTCAAAAATTTTACCTACTGATTTCCTCTACTCCTTGGCCTTTTGTACTGTAGGTTTGCTCTGAGAAGAGAAAATTATTCTGTTTTAAATTATTCAAAAGTTAAGGATTTGAAGTGGAGAAGTTAACAGAGTTTCTGAAGATGAATCTTTGTGCCCGTTATTGTAGGTAGGAAAACCAAGAGTATCCCTAGTGGCATAGATACTTGAACATACTAAGGGCTTCATCTTATATTGAATAAGTAGATAAAAGGTTTTCTGGTATCCCCAGTGCTACAGACTGAATGAATGTTTGTGTGCTCCCCAAGTCCTAACCCCCAATACATGGTATTACGAGGTATGGGGCCTTTGGTGGGTTATTAGGTCATGACAGTGAAGATCTCATAAATGGGTATTACTACCCTGATAAAAGTCCAGAAAGCTCCCTAGACCCTTCAGCTATGTGAGGATGTAGCAGAGAGGCCATTAGTGAGCCAGGATGCAATCACCAGACTCTGCATCTGCCAGCTTGGTCTTGGACTTGCCAGCCTCCAGAACTGTGGGAAAGAAATGTTTGTTGTGAACAAGCCACCCACTCTGGTATATTGTTATAGCAGCGCAAATGGACTGAGCTACTCTAGAGAAGGTAAATGGGGGAGAGGAGGATTGTGGGGATTCAGAGAGGTTTGTATCTAAGCGCAGAACATGGGCTTCTCTGTTGTTTATGCAGGCGTTCATGTCTACCAATGGCCACGTTTTCTCTACCAGTTACAGTTACCCCCACCCCTCTGTGTTTAGGGCCTATATTTCCTCTAAGTGTGAGAATCTGGTCTTCTGCTCGTAGAGCCTTTTTAGAGGCCTTTTGAAAAGCCACCTCCCATTTTCTTGTTAAGGCCCTTCAGGAGATTGTGCAGCCTTTACTGGTTGCTGAAAGTGAGGCCATAAAGGATTTTATCTTTTTTTAAATAAACCTCATCTTCTGCAGATATCATGCTCTCAGCTGGCTAGGATGGGATGTTTCAAGGTTGTCTTTTAAATGATTTAGAACATTGATGTCTCAAAAGCTATTAAGGGAAAATAATCTGGGATCATATATAGTACATTATACATTTTGCAGAGTACAAATGGTAATGACTTAATCTAAAACAAGTTGGATTAATGCAGAGCTAGAATGACGGGCAGACAAATGGATAAGAATACCAATGCAGTCCGTGTTCCGTACTTGAAACCACACAAGCCTTCCTAAATTGAAAACTGATGAAGGATAGAAGTTTGCTGCAGAGTCTTTGGCAGAAGAAAAGCTGTTTGAGGATGATGTGGAAGTAATGGCATCAAGGGTCTTAAATGACATATTGGGGATGGGTGGGGGAAACTAGTGCCTCAACACAGATAGTTTGAAAAGCACTAAGATACAGAGCGATGTGGAACTGGAAAGCAGTAGAAGTGGCTGAAGGACAAGGACTGAGTATATACACGGTAAAACCTGAAACTTCTTGATGCTTTTACTGTTCCGAATTAGGAGTTGGTATGACTATAAAGAATCTTTGGACATTTTTGTACACATCTTTTGATAGTCATGTACTCATTTCACTGGGATATAAACTTTAAAAGTAGAACTGCCAAGTCCTTAGAGTAGACGTATGTTTAGCTTCAGAAAAAACTGTCCGTTTTCCAAGGTGACTATAGCATTTCACACACTCACAACGTATGAGAGATCCACTTGTTACCTGTCCTCACAACACCTGGTTGTCTGTTTTTAATTTTAGCCTTCCTGATAATGTGTAGTTGCAAAACATTGTAGCTTTAATTTACATTGCTGTGAGGAGTAATGATGTTGAACTCATTTACACTTGCTTATTAGTCATTTGGATATTCTCTTTTTTGGAAGTGCATGTAAAATTTTTACCTTATTTTTAAGTTGGGGTTTTATTATTTTCTTTTTGATTTGTAGTAGTACTTTATATATGCTGGATATGAGTCCTTTGTTAGATTATATGTATGTTAAATATATTTTCACCCAGTCTGTGCATTACCTTTTCCCTTTCTCAGTGGTGTCTTTTGATAAACAGATTTTAATTTTGATGAAGTCCAATTTGTTATAATTTTTTTCTTTTATGAATATTGCTTTTTGTGTCCTGTTCAAGAAATCTTTGCTTATCCCAAGGTCTGGAAGGTCCTTTTTTTCCAGAAGCTTTATAATTTTCTTTCATAGTTAGGTTTATGATTTATCTGGAATTAATTTTGTGGTAGACATAGGTAGGTGATTAAGATTCATTGTTTTTCCTATACAGACATCCAGTTGTTCTAGCATCAGCTATTGAAAAGACTTTCTTTACCCCCATTGTATTGATGCCTTTGTTGTAAATTAATTGACTATACATGTGGATGTATTTCTGGACTCTGCCCTGTTTCAGTGACCTATTTGACTATCCTTATGCCGATATGTCACTGTCTTAGCATAGTTTTATAGAAATCTGACCCATTCATTTTTTGAGATGTTTTAGAAACTATGATAAGATACATTTGTTTGATTTCAGAGTACAACAATCTATTAGTAAATGGAAAAATTCATATATTATTATTTAATTGAAAGTGATTTAAACTTAGAACAAACTGTTTTATAGTACTCAACAGAGATAATGAGCCTGTTTTTTAGGTTAGATAGGACAGAATTTACCTTTGCTATTAAAATGCCTTACACTAACCTAAGACTAAGGGATGTTAGAAATGTCCTGATATCATCACTAGAAGTTATGAAAAGATTAGAAAGATGATCATTGAACATGCAAAGTGCTATAATATACGGAAAGAGACTTGTAGACTATTTAAGCCATAGTTCATAGGAACATTCTATTCTTCTTTGTTCTGACATTTACTCTGCAGTAATATTCTGTTTTAGTGCCATTCCCAAGTTCTTCCAGGGGTCAGTAGACAACCATGCTGTTTTTCAGAAGTTCAAAATTTTAACCATTTGTATCTTCCTAAGAGGAAAAAATAAATATACTCTGTTGGGATTTTAAAGAAAATTTAATGAGGCTCCTATTTACAGATAAATGGACAGGGTCAAAGAAACCAACATGGTACTTGCAGACTGGCAACAGGAGGAAATAGTGACTGAATAGTGCCACTGAGATGGCAAGAAAAAGAAGTAATGTTACAGATGTCCAGTGAAGCATGAGAAGATGGGCTACTTGACAGGAGCTGTAGTTACAAAGGGTTATAGCTTAAACCAAGGAAGGATCTGGGAAATAAATATCCTGACCTCTCTCTTTGTATTCTGATTTGCCTGCTGATACCTCCCCTAGAACAAGTCTAACCAGAAAACTATAAATGCATTCTGTAAGAGTCAGTCTCCTAAGGCACAGCAGCAGGGAAGGAAGGGCCTGGATCTGGATGGGTGGAGGTGGTGGCAAACACAATAACTAGCACATAATAGTTTCTTTCAACTGAAAATATGAAAGAATAGGTTTTTTTCTTTTTAATTTAATGGTTTCCCATATTATTTAGGATCTAAAATAGAGAAGTTTCATTTTGTGTTGACCAATGCGGCCAGCATTTGGCTGCATTCTTTATAACATAAAGTATGCACAGGACCAAAAGCTTTTCTATTAAAAAAAAGCAGCTTACATGTAGTTCAAAAGAGTATATGGTGATCTAGCACAGCTAAATATCTTCTCTGTTATTTATCATTTGAACATTTCCAAAATACATCTTCCTCACTATTTGAATAGTTTTGTTTCATTTTGCAATGATGATGAATATGAAAAATCCTTGCATCCCTTTATAACCTATCATTTATTTAAATAACATATAGCGGAACCATCCTATATAAGGAACATTTCAATTGCTAATAATCAGAGACTTTAAGAAAAACTTCTGAAGTGTGCTTGTTCATTTCTTTTTTCCCAGAATGGGGAAATTTTCAGTATTTCTTCACTTGAAAGAGACAAGATAATGTGTCATGATTATTTAAAAATAGCATTTCAGTATTTTAGTTCATACACATCACACAGTTCTATTTATGTACTATAATCATCTCTGTCCAGATAGTATAAAGGAAGGGAAAGTTCAATTCATATGCAATCAAAAATATGACAGAAGCCTTAACTGAAATAGCAACTGAATTAGCTTATATAAATTATATCTCTAAATACTTTTTACCTAGGTTCATAATGGTCCGTAGTGGAAAAAATGGTAACCTTCATCTTAAACAGATTGCATATTATAAACGAACTGGTGAATATCATCCATCTACTTTGCCGAGTGAGAGAAGTGGCATAAGAAGAGCAGCAAAAAAATTTCTCTTCAAAGGTAAAATCAGTCCCCAAAATCTTGAATATAGAGTTAATACAGATGTTTCTTCATGTGCTCTTTGTGGAATCTTGATGTGACTGGTTGTTCCTTAACAATTAACCTGTTTAATGATGATGCTAAGGGCATTTTAGATCAAAGTCAGAAAATGATAGTGTGGAAAAAACAAGACAGCTAAATTAATCTCTCTTACTTTTGTCCTCAGGTGGCTCCTACTCTGTTGGGTGCACTCTTAGGCCCTCCGGTCACGGTCCATGAAGAACTTAATGCCTAATATGAAAACGTTTACAGTGTTAACTTGTTTGTTCATTATATTTATTTCTGTGGTTCCACCCTCCCACTGCCATTAAATATTCTCAGGATCATATTTATTTTTGTACCCCTAATCCACTTGAATGAATTAAATATTTGAAATATGGTGGTAGAATGTTTATTTTGAAAGGTTATATATTGTTTCCCACTTTCTGTTCCTCCAAAGGGGAGAAGTTTGGGATGAGGTAAGAACCCCACTTCCTACTCAAAACCAAAGACAGGCAGCTGCTTAAAAATATGCAGTTATAATTACATAATATTTTAGAAATTCTGTTCCAGAAGCTGTCCATCTTTACATAATTCATTTGCTAATTTGCCATTTTTAGGAGATGCCTGCAAGTACTTTTCTAGTTTAAGTACTCCCATAGAAAGACAATTTTATATTCCCATAGTTATCTCACACTTTGGTGAACAAGCCAGCTCTGCTTGTATTGATAGCTACAAAATTATAGCAGCTATTGATTCTTCTATATATTCAGTAAGTGTAACAACTGAGGACCTTTCAGATTTTATGGTGCATCATTACAAATAATATTCTGTCTAAAAGGAAGCAAGATCTAAATACAAAAAACAAAAACACTTCATGGTTTGGAGAAAGAACTGTGGTTATCTTAAAATTATATAGGACTCTAAAAATTGCAATTATATTTATTCCAGAAAAAAAGCTGTTTTATGTTGGAAAAGACAGAAAACAAAATCGTCTGGTAATTGTTTCAGAAGAAGAAAAAAAGAAAGTCCTAAGAGAATGCCATGAAAATGACACTGGAGCCCATCATGGCATATCCAGAACCCTTACTCTAGTGGAATCAAGTTACTATTGGACTTCTGTGACTAATGATGTCAAACAGTGGGTATGGCTTATGTATTTAGAATATTTTGAATAATGTCTTTGTAATAAATATCCAAAATTCATTATTGTTCCAGATTTACTCTGGATATCACCTCTTATTAGGTACTTTTTTATGGGTAATTTTTGTACAAAAGCTTTTAAAGATAGTTTTATTTCCCTTGAAAATTCTTCTTTAAAAATCACTAAAGTATAACTTGAACTAGAATAAAGCATTATTTAAATATTGGAAAATGCCATATTTAGGTGGGAGATTATTTGGAACCAGATTTTCATCATTGAACTCTTGTGTAGGCAAAATTCAAATGGGGCTGAAATTACTTCGACCAAGTGATTACCTCTTTGATGGCAGTGATACAATCTTTCCTTGAGGAGAATATGTTCGTAGTAAGTCAGGTCCAGTGTGTGCTCCCATCTTTTTTGCCTATTCCATCCTGATGTAGAAAATGTCAGATATGGCAGAAAACCAAAACCAATTAAATGCAAAATCAAGTTGCAAAGATAATGAAATTAGTCTGAGTATTTTAACCCATTAGGACCTTCAACTGCTAATAGAAAATTCAGCTAGGAATTCTGGGATTCTCCTGGTACGTCAACTGATCCCTACTCTTTCTGGTATGCTCTATATGACAAATGAGAGAAATAGCTTGGTATGTTTTTGAGATCCCCTCAATAATTATAATAGTTCATCAAAAAGACTGTCACTTCAGACATAAAGAATTAAACCACCTAAGTATCATTTGTGAGTTACCAGTTTATGACTATACAGGGATTCCAAAGACCTTAATTTTTGTGTTTGCTTCTAAAACCTGCCACGCATTCCTGACAATGAAATCTTTATCATGTGAGAATCTGAGTGTGATTTTTGCAAATAATCAGGTTATTTGTAATGAAAACTAGTGCGTGAGTCAGAAAGTAAAATTGTGATCAAAAGTAACTATAATGTAATGCTTTTTTAAAAAATTTTGTTCAGGAGTTGGTTTCAAAGTACTTTCCAAAGTGGAATTTCAGAAATATGTTGAGCAGTGGCACTATCCATAAGTTAGTCAATTGATCTCTTCTCATCTCACAAAGCATGGGCTTTGTTTTCCATTTTTGTTAATTCTCTTTTCCCAGGACATTGAGGAATTTCTGGCATCTATATATATTGTTTGAATAAAATAATGTTTTAGTAGATATTGTTGGAATAGATGAATGAGTGAGCTTATTAAGCGGTATCTTTAAAATAAAAAAAAACCCTTGCTTGTAAAAGTTATTGTATATCCAGTTACTTTTTAAAATGATAGAAAACTTGTTTTAGGATCTAGTCATTTAATGAATATTTATTAAATGTAAACCAGAATTACGTTCCATGTGAGTCAGGCCCCTTAGAAGGTCATTGAATAGTAGTAGCAAGTAATATTTGCTTATTATTCTGAATAGAAGGTTTTATTTTATTCTGAAAATAGTCCAAAAGTTTCTCCTTCAAAACACAAAGTACCTATTAACTATTTTAAAGTTCATATTTATAAGACTTCTTTTATTTTGCTGAATACATTAACATTTGTACATCTTTTCTTTATTGTATGCCTGTTTTATAGGTATATGCTTGTCAGCATTGCCAAGTGGCAAAAAATACAATTATTCTGGCACCTAAACAGCACCTTCTCAAGGTAGAAAATCCATGGAATATAGTTACTGTTGATCTGATGGGCCCATTTAATGCAAGCAACAGAAGTAATGTATATGCTATAATTATGACAGATTTGTTCACAAAATGGGTTGTGATTTTGCCTCTGTGTGATGTTTCAGCAACAGAAATTTCTAAAGCTATTACCAATATATTTTTCCTATATGGACCTCCTCAGAAAATAATAATGGACCAAAGAGATGAGTTTATTCATCAGGTAAGACTAAATAAACTACTTAGGTTTAAGAGCGTATTTGACTTACCTTTCAGTGCTTAGCACACCTGTACATTATAGGGTGTTTTATAAGTTTAGGTAAATTGCTGCAGGTTAACATTGTATAATACAAAGGTAATTGTACTGGAAACTAAGAGACCAGAATTTAATACTTTTTGTGCCAATAAGTAATTGTAAACCTATCTTTAGGTTTCCTCAAACTAAAATAGGGAGGTTGAACCAAATAATCTTTGTTTATTTCTAGCTTAAAAATTCTGTGATTGACATGTGGAGGGAGAATTGATTAAATTGAAAAGTATATCATGTTCATGAATGAGAATATTAGGTATTGAAAGGTAACAGTTTTCCCAAAACAGAATTATAGTTATAAATTTCTAATCATCATTAGAAAGGAAGAGTTTTTTCCCTTGCTCTGGACTTTTTACAGATTAAAGTTAACCTGAAAGAATAAGCAGATAAGAATATATATGAAAATTCTAAAAAAGGAATATAACCATTACACTCAGTGCAAATTTTTAAATGTTTATATTGAACTGTATAAGAAAAAAATCAGATAGACTGTCTTGGTTCACAGCACTTTTGATATCTCACACCAAAAGAAATATCTAAAGTTATATGTACTGAGTAGTCAGGTTTTGTGTCAGGGAGTCCCTAAGATCATCTCCAAGTTTTATAATTCATTAGGAGGACTGTGCCACAGATGGTCACAGTCATGGCTTAGATTTATTATAATGAAAGGACACAAGAAAATCAGCACAGTAAAAGGCTCATGGATGCAAGTCCAGGGGACACCAGCTACAAGGGTCTCAGATGTCTTCTCTCAGTGGACTTACACAGGACGTGTAATTTCCTCAGCAACAACACCATGTAAAGTGTTATTAACCAGAGTAACCTATTAGAGATTCAGTGCCTAGGACTTACACTGGCTCACACCATTTCCCTGCCTGGAATGTACCAACATTCTAGATTCTCAAAGGAAAGAAGGTGTTCAGCATAAACTACCTGTTTGTATAAACAGCTGAGGCCCAGTGAGCCATTCTTCTTAATTAAGGAATGATGGAAGTCCTCCTGAAATCCTAGTTTTGAGATACCAGCCAAGGCCAACCTTGAATCAAGCCTTTCATAGGATGGCTCACATTTGCAATGTTAACTCTTTTCTGCAGAGATACAAACAATGAGTATTTATGTCCTAACCACTTAGCCATATTAAAAAATAATACATATAAATTGAAAAAAAATATTTTGTTTTTAAAAAGCTACAATTACTTATTCATGGGATGTGTGTACCGACTGACCAGTGCTCAGCTTCTCAATCCTTGGAATCATACTGGACTCTGCCCTTCTCATTTCCTGCTGCACATTGACTTTTACATAGTAGTTGCTTTTTATCATGCCATTTGCTGGAAAACCAGTTCTGTAAAGATAGGATCATGGAAAGGAATGTAGCCTTACTTAATGTTGAAACCATAATTGCCTTAAACCAATACTATTTACCACAATGCTGTTTATATTAGTGAAGACAGGAAACAACCTAAACATCCAAAAACAGAAAGTGTCTTAGAACTATATGTCTAACCACGTTTATTATTTGTTAGCCATTAAAAATGTTTACAAAGAAAAGGAAATGACATGGATGATGTTTATAACATGTTAAATTTAAAATGTGCATAAAGAATTTTATTACATATATACACATATTTACACGATAACTAAAAATTCATATAAAATAAAAAAATTCATAAGGTTATAAAGGTTTTTAAAGAGTAATGAGATTATGTTTTTTCTCATAATTTTTCAGTTTATATATATTATTAGGTTGCTTTTATAATTTTTAGTGATTTAGATGTACATAATCATCTGTTAAATTTATGAAAAAATTATTAATGCTTAGCAATATTTAATTCTCTTAGCCTTCCAAACACAGAAAGCTATCCTTTTAGACTCTTGCATATAGGCAAACCCAAGTAACTAGATCTGGCCAAAGAAATTGCATGGATGTGTGTGTGCCACTTTCACCCTGAAGTACTGAAATACTCATGCTCAGTTCTTCAGTCTCTCAGTCCTACCCTTTCTCTGGGGAATTGACTGAATATTCTAGATATTACACTATAGAGTGGAGGAATTTCTCTTGTCTGGGATTGCTGAGGCACCCAGTAGAGACCAGTTGCCTTGGAGAGATGCCCTGACCTACAGCTATCTTTGCATGAGCAGTAAGTAAAGCTATTGCATAACTCCACCAAGACTTGTATCTGTTTTGTAACTGCAGAATAATTTTGCGTACATTGACTGACACTACAGTTATCTGAAAAATGTGGTATGCAAGACAATCTAGTTTATAGTATGACAATATTAGAGCTTCTGTTTATACTTTTTTATCTAATAAATAAGAAAGAAATGCAGCTTTACTAATAATGTGCACAGGTTGGTAACAGAACCCTGAGTCAACCAGGCAGATGATTGTTGTGTCACAGCTGGTATGTGACAGTGTCCTGAGAGAAGAGAATTTCACAAGACAGAGGACTATAAAATGGTTCCCTCACTCATTCTTTTGCTTTTAGCAGTAACTGAATTTATGGATATTGTCTAGTTTTCACAGTACTCCTCATAGAATACCAGTTGCTTAAGTTTCTTGCAGTGAAACAAAATAATAGTAATAATGCAGTCACCTATCAACAATAAGGAAATGACAGTGCTGACACATCTGTTTAACTTCTGGCCTAGCTCTTTCTTAGACACATTAATGAGATGAAAACAAATACAAACTAGTCAGATCTGAAAGAAAAATGGCCATCAAAATTATTAAGAAAACTGTTTGAAATACTGATTTGCTTCTACCTTTATTAATGAAAAGCTTCCCCCTAAGTGCATTTAGTGCTTCAAGATACTAGATAATTACAGTATGAAGCCATTATGAATTGTTAGCTGTTTTTGCTGTCTTGTTTAAAGTCATGTGACAATCTAAGACTTTGAAAATTTTACCAAAGGTAAAAATAATTGTTTACAAGCCTTTTTTGTGAGGTTTAATAATAACAAAAAATGAAAACACATATGACTGGGACAGTTTGGTTTTTTTTGCTGTGACTTGGTTTAAATATTTCACAAACATAATGGTGACAAAATGGGCTTTTTTGGTCAAAACTGTATCCCTACCTGCAAGAGAACTTGGGAAATGTGATTTTGTTTTTGTGGGTTTTTTTCCCTCATTTAGTAGCTTCACCTTTTAAGATTCTGATGTTACTTGTCTTCTTATTATTAAACAAGACTATAATCATCTTTTTAAAAATGTTTTGCCAGCCAAATGTTTACCCAGCTAAAAAAAATAAGAATAAATAAATAAGTAATAATAATAAAGTCTGAGGCAAAAGGCAGAGAAAAATAAGTCATTTTACATTTTGCAGGTTACTGTTTCAAGTTTTCTGAACTCATTTTGACTTTTAGGCCCTGTAGATAACAAATACAACAATAACAATAACAACATTTAGAGTCACAAAGTGCTTACCACTCATCAATAGCTGTTCTAAATGCATTTACTCACTTAATTCTTAAAAAAGTCCTGGATAGGATTTCCTCATAATGGATAAGAAAACTGCATACACAAAAGTTCGGTGATTTGGCCAAGGTCACACAGCTGTTAACTGGATTATGTGGCCTAGTGTTTGTTTGAGAAACTGTCTGTTGAGTTAATTAAAGTGTTATTTGAATTCAGAGTTAGTGTTAAATTCTGCTTTTCTGTTTCCTTGCTGTACATGTGTGCCTGACTAGACACGTAACCTCCCAAAGCTTCAGCTTATCTTTAAAATGCAGTTAACAGTACCTCATAAGATTTTGTAAGTCTAATGACAGTATTGTAAAGCATCTAGTGTGTTAACGAGCACAAAATAAGGACTTAATAGATGGTAATTCTATTTTAAACAAAATATGTATGTTTAATGTAGAATGGTTATGGTTTAATTAAAAAGGCAAGACTCAAATTCTTTTGAAACCTATCAACAAAAAAATAAAATACAAATTTTAAAGTCAGCTTTGTTTTGTTTCATCTATTTTTCAGATCAATGTCGAACTTTGTGAATTGTTTGGCACAAAGCAAATTGTAATTTCCCATGCCTCCCAAACTGTTAATTCAACTGAAAGTACACCTAATACAATCAAAACATTTCTTTCCAAACACTGTGCCGACCACCCAAACAACTGGGACGAACACCTATCAGTCGTTTCATTTGCCTTCAATGTAACTCACTTGGTATGTGCCTCTTTATAATTCTGTACTTTTAAGTTATGACTGTTTCTTGGCTACAGAGTGGTTTATTCAAGTTGTTGTTTATTTTCCTTAAAATAGGAGCCTACTAAAAATACACCATATTTTCAAATGTTTAATCGAAATCCTCATATGCCTGAGACTTCAGATGTTCTTCATGAAGTGGATGATGATAATACAAGTATGTTTGCCAGAATTCTAGGTGCAATTAAAGAAGCTGATAAAATAATGGAGAATAAGACAATTTCAGCAGACCAGGTGATTCTATTTAATAGAAAACTCTGTAATCAAAAACCTATAAAGTGATTTTTTTTTAAAGTCATCATATACACACATGCAGATGCACACACTCATACATGTGATATAGTCTTAATACAATTTTTTAGATAAAATTCTGCTTATATTAAACAGCATGCTTATTGACTATGAAATTCTGAGAGACAATAATAGAAAAACCATGTATTTTACAAATAAGTAGAGCTGAATTCAAATCCCTGGTTTTGTTGCTTTCTAGTTGTTTGACTTGGCACATTACTTAACCTTAATCAGTTTACCTTCTTTGTAAAGTTGGGATAATAATACTGACTTTGACATACTGTCTTAAGAATTAAATGGGACTCATGCCTACCTTTTAGTAGCATCTCAATAAATAATCCTTCTGCTAGATTATTATCTATATTTACCTTCAAGAAACTACAGCTTTTTCATCCCTGTGTTCTCTCTTTCCCTCTTTCTCTCTCTCTCTTTTTTTTGGACTTCTAGGTGGAGAACAACAATATTGATGAACTAAATAAAACCAAAATCATTGTTAAAAAGAAACCAAAGCAATTAAATCCATTTCATCTAAAAGTGGGTCATGAAGTTTTAAGACAAAGGAAAAACTGGTGGAAGGATGGTCGTTTCCAGTCTGAATGGGTTGGTCCATGTGTCATAGACTATATTACAGAAAGTGGATGTGCTGTTTTAAGAGACAACACTGGGACTAGACTTAAAAGACCAATCAAAATGTCCCACCTTAAGCCCTATGTAAGAGAACCCAGTGAACAAGGTAAATATATGGCACTTCTTTACATTTTTACTTTCTTTGAGGAAAGAAGTACAAGTATTAAACCCTCCCCCCCAATCCCCACCACCTGCCCTTGGTTAGTTTTTCTTTTCCCTTCTCATTTCTATAAAATTTGGTATATTTTTAGATCCCAGGTAGTCTGTTTTATTAGACTGTCTCTTCTAGAATTGTCAGGCTTGTAAGACATTTTATTTTGATTTCTAGTATACTTTTCACTCACTTTCCACAGTTCATGTGGTAGATGCTAAACCTAATTCACAGAGGGAAGAATTGTGTCTTCTCTGTTTTCACTTTCACAAAATTTTATTGTATTGTCACTTTGTGTCTCATTTTAGCCTAAAAAAATAGCAGCTAAGATAAATAATGCCCCAAACAAACATACTGTCCAGAACTCTGTTGTGAGATAAATGTATTAGGTAACTTAAAAAGTGATTAATTTTTAACGTTGCATCATTGTCAGGTGGTGGCAGGTGTGGGGAGCATGCAGAGGGAGGCTTGCTCAGAATGCCGGGAGGTGCTGGAAGAAGGGCTAGCACCCAAAGTTATACTTGCCCCCAGATATGGTTCTGCACAGTCAGGTTATCTTGATCTCTGTAACCTTTTCTTTCATAGACTAGAACTAAGTGACATTTTGCCATGGCTTTCCTATTAAATCCCCCTTCGATGAAATTTTAATTTTATCCTATTGTATCTGCTTCCTAGAGTTCCACAGGGGTGGATAACAGAGAGAGTGAATTGGTACCTTAAATAATTTTGCTTTTTCTCTAAGGAAAGATAAAGCATCACTATTATTTGAATATGAGTAATAATTATTGGAAGATACAATTTAATGTATTCAAACAGTATACACAGCTAAATTATATAACAAGCTTAAGTAAATCGCTACTACAAGAACAACAGATAAACTGCACTTACCCCTATTTTACCATATGAAGCCCTTGGGGGCCACTGAGTATTGAGTCAATTCCACTTCTGCTCTGAGTCACAACTCTCATGGTAAAAGCTCTTTTAGCCGTTCCTGCCACTTGTGATATACCCAGTTGCTCTACCAGTAAACTTACCTTGCACTCTTCTAATTCTGAAAGCTCATAATACTTTCATTCTCTTTGTTGGAATAAAAGTGCTTTCATTCCTTGTGCTTCTTCTCAGTTCTGAGGTACCCTTTATGATTTTTTCCCTTTTGTAAGTTACGTGACAAAAAAATTATACAGGTACACGTTGTTCTTTCTTGTTTAGCACGATTTTCCCCTTAATCTTTCTGGATATTTTCCTTTCTAATGTATTTACCTTCCTTATTTAAAACAAAATTTAGATTTAAAATGCTGCTGTATCAAGATCTGTTTCAGTATATTACAATCTGCCCCTGCAAAAGACTTTCATAGAAAGATGGCCAAACATATTGCTACTACTGAATATTTCAGAATCCAGTTGAGTAGAACTGTTTCTAAACAGACAGAATAATGTTTTCCTCATGCTTGAATTCTCTGCAGATATTCCTTCCACTAATGTAAAGGATATTGCAATATTAGTACTGGCGTACATATAAGGAACCTGAGATTGATGGGTAAAATAAGGTTTTTTTGTTAACCAAATGAAGTACTAATCTGGCCATCCTGGAATTAGTTATTGATTACTACTTGTTCCTTTTTTTGTGTTTCCCTTATTTGCAGAAATTCAAACTGAATATGATCTCTGCCATCTTTTTCTTCAGTATTTAAACATATTTTCCTGAAAATCTTCACCTCAAAGGCTGATTTTAAAGAGTCCTCAGACTGAATTTAATGTAAACAAAATGCCTTTGGATGTCTTGAATCCTAGTCTTTTATTTGACATAAATTTAGACAAGAGGTAGCCAAAGAACTAAGAGTTTGCCTGCCTGCACTTGTCATTGCTACTCCTACCAGCCGTGAGATATCATAGCTGCACTCATTGCCCCAAGCAGAGAGGCTTCTGTTGCCAACTTCTTATCCATTCTTATCTAGAACATACTGTACAAGGAGCACATTCAGTACTGCATCTGCAATATTTCTCAGTGCTATTTAAAGCAGGCCTGTTTATCATTTTTTTCTAGTTTAATGCCAGGCATCTTTTTAAGACTGATTATTTTAACAAGAAATTTCATGATATACCATAGGGTGTCTTTGTAATCATAATACTCTCCTTTGAAAGGAAAAATGTTATTGGCCATTACTCTATCCAATGTAGATTTTGAGTACTTTTATTTGTGTTTTTGTTTTGTTCTGTGGGAGGTTATGAGAGATTTGTGTCTATCTAAAACCTTTCCCCAAAGGTGTTAGTTTGATTGCCCTTCTCAGTTGTGATATGGTTTTCATTATTTTATATTTCTTATTGCTGCCATAATAGATCACCATAAATTTTGTGGCTTAAAACAACACATACCTTACAGTTCTGTACCTTAGAAGTCCAACATAGGTCTCACTGGGCTAAAATCAAGGCACTGGCAGGGCCCTTTTTCTTTCTGGACCCTTGAAGTATTCTGTTTCCTGCCTTCTCCCCCTTTTAGCGGCTATCTGCGTTGCTTGGCTGTGGTCCACCTTCTCGATCTTCAAAGCTGGCGATGGTGGGTAGAGTCCTTCTCTCATCATACCACTCCAACTTCCTCTTCTTTCTCTTCCTTTCACATTCAAGGACCCTTATCCTTGGGCCCACCCGATAATCCAGGTTAATCTCCCAAAATGTTTTAAGGTGAACTGGTCAGTAATTTAAATTTCATCACTATCCTATTCTCCTTTGCCACATAAGGTAACATATCGTCAGAGGTTCCAGGGATTAGCGCATGGACATCTTTAGGGGCCCATTATTCTGTCTGCTACAGTTAGTGGTTTCCATTCATGAGATGAAACAAAGCTTAGTTCCTACAGTACCAAGCCCATGATGTGTATTATTAATACATAGTTTATGCAAAAAGCTTCCCTTTGGTCTCTTAGTGTATAGTCTCTAACCTAAGAGTCATTTATTCTCTGTTGTTAATATTGGTTATCTATTATAATGACAATTATGTACTATCAAATTATAGTTAGTTTTTTTTTTATTATGAACAAGGATATACTAGTATGGCAACACATTCTAAAAGTTTTAGTTAGGATTATCAGGCTATATATAGGATTAGTCCGGTCACCTTTCTTCAGAATAAGAAAATTAAATATTCTGAAACATGTGCTCTCTATCTGAATAAATAAATTAATCCAAATTGTTCAGACTTGTCTGAGACTTTGATTTTAACTAATTTTTCTCCTTAGGGAAATTTAAAAATTTATTTCTCAAACCTCATTTTTACCCCTTAAAACTGCATAAGGAAAAGTATATCAAAACTGCTGATAACACCTTTCTGAAATGTCTTGAAAGTACCTCCATCTCTAAGAAACTAAGACTTTTTTATTCTGTCTGGTCAAAACTGAAATAATGCTTTTATCGAACAGATGCCATAATCCTAACTAAATCAACAGAATACGAAAAGAAAAATCCGTAAGTCTGTCATGTAACATGACTGAGTAGAAAAGTCCTTTAATGTGGTGTATTTGTTTACTTTTTTCTCTTCCTTGGGGAAAAAAAAAAACCTATCGTATTCTTTTCTATATCCCTAACTCAGGATTATTCTAGATCAGTACTGTCCAATAGATATATAATGCAAAAATTATGTGATATGTAATTTTTAATTTTCTAGTAGCCACATTAAAGTACAAAGTTGAGAATAATTTTAATAATGTTTTATATAACCAAGTGTATCTAAAATATTATTTCAACATGTACATAGAGCTCCAAAAGCCTCTTTTCTGGTAATTTTTGATAATCTTTTTGAAGTTGAAGAGCAGTTCTATAGGCCCAATAGATTTAGACCATCGTAGGAGTTGAAATATATTTGACCTTTCTGAATGAATGAGAATATTGTTTTTTCCTTACAAAACAACGCTTGAAATCTCCAGAAGTTTTACATTGCATATAAAGTTATTTGTGTGTCATTTGCTGAGTATAATCCTTGTTCTTTGTAGTTTGATTACAGTAAGGCACTTTAAAGTATATCACTTATTTAAAAGAAAGTATTTGTGTGTGTATGTGTATATATGTCAGTTACATATAGAAGTTCTCCTCTTACAAACAGATGAGGTTGGTGAAGTCCATTTGTTTCTGAGTCCAGTGTAGTTAGGAGGTGCTTAAGCTCAAGATCTGTAATGCGTTTCCAGGAAATCAAAGTGGTAACTTGTAAGAGCTTTATCTGTGCATATTTTTCCTGCTGATGTATGTTTACTGGACATGTTTTTCTAAAATAGATCAGGTTCATCATATGGAAAAAGATTTTGAGACAGAAAACTTCCTCCATCAAAGACTTCTGCAAGGATCTTTGGAAAAACCTTAAATGCTATGGTATCTGCTGTCACTGATACTTCGCTGCATTACAGGCCTTGAACCTATGGAATTCTCTATGACTTATTAGAAAAACTCCATCAGCAACACTTTTACCATACCTAACGTTTTTAAGTTCTCTTATAAAACTACGCCTAGGCTTTTTGAGTATTTTACAGGCTAATGGGAGTGAACTTTGATGATGAACCTCTAGCAGCACACTGTAGAAGTGTTTCAGTGACAGTGATCGTTCTCTCTTCTTCCTTTACTGCTATTGGGCATAGGACCTCTCATGGTTGCATGATTTATTTTTCATCTTTCAGAATTTTTCCTCTTGTTCAACAGTTCATCCCATACGAGCATACAAAAACCATTTTCTTAGCACCTTCAATTATCCATACTTTTATTTCCACCGTAAATATGTGTATCTTCTTACTAGCATTTTTAATCTAATTACTGCTTTTCCATTAATAAGAATTGGTGGGGTTAAACCTGGAGAACCTCTCAAAATCAAAATACAAGTATACTTTGCCTAATGAAGAACAAAATGGACAAAATGAATTGTCTATGCAAGCCCAAGTCAACTTATGCCATCAAAGCTAGAGAGCATAGCTCTTAAGGTATAAGCTCTTAAATGTATAAACTTCTGGGGTTAGAATAGGCTCAGTGACCTTTTCAAATAATAGTATGGGTAGAATGGGGTCATGTTCCAGGATATATTAGCAAATTTATCTGCTCCGAGAAACTTTAATTGATCTCTGCTCTAAATGGGCAATTAATCTCCCTTTTGCTGTTTTTTTGAACTTAAAATTTGAGGATTAAGATATTAAGATCTCTAAGAGAATCTGTTAATGTTTTGGGAGAAAAATCTAGAAAGAGATGGCAAGGGTCTGGGAAGTTAATCAACTGTTGGAAGAAGAGTTCCTTGTTGATGACTTAAAATATCTGTAGAGAGTCCTTTTATATTCATTAACCTTTATTTGTAATGATGCTACTACTTTGCCATTGGTTTAACATTCTTTTTAAGCATTATTTTTCCCTGATAGTGATGATATATTTGCTCAAAATAGAATAAAATGCTGACAAAGAAAATTCTGGTCAATATTTCAGTATGGAAATAGCTACACATTAAAGTTCATGAACATTTTGGTATTAAATCAGACAAATAAGCTAAGCTTTTACAATTACTTCATTGTTGCCTGCCTACTTACACATTCTATCACATAAGCCTTATTCTAGTAACTGTACCTTCATCTTAGTTTATAACTTCATATTATAACAGTTTGATATTATTCTAATATGGATTCTATAAAGATTGGAGATTTATCTAAAGTTGTAAATGTAAGGATTTAACAATTGTATTTGTTAAAACATCTCTTAAGACCACATTAATTGACTAAGAAATGCTTTGTTAAGGAATGTAAAGGGTACCATTAACATAAAAAATACAGCTTTATAACTTTGTTTTTCATCTACACTGTAATCCTCTGTCTCCTCTACCCACTTGCCCACACCTAGCAAAGACAGGTCACGTTAACAGGGCTGTCTTTTTTTTTTTAGAAAAGCTTGGCTCTTTTAAAATCCTTGGTCTTTCTGGAATTCTATATATATGACCTGTCAAATTAATATATAATTTTATTCATTTTTTGATATGTGTTTATTTAGTAGATAGAAACCACGAATAGTTAATCTTGATAGTTAATTTTTATTACTTGGGATTTTGTTCCTTGTTTAACACTGTTCAATTTTAAAATGATGCTTAATTAGAATTCTAAAAGACAAATTTACGATGTTTCTTCTTTCAGACAGTCTTTATCTCTTACAAGGTTCAGTGGTGGCAGATCATGACTACATTGGATGGCCTGAAATTCCCGTTGGAGCATACCAAGCAGATACTCTGGTAGAAGATGCAAATATTGGCATAGTTGATAATGACTTACTAACATCAAGCAAGGATCGTGAACTATTAGAATATAGAAATACCAAAATATCTCCATTGATAGAAGATCACAGTGCTCTTGAAAAGCAGACTTTCAGTCTGTTGGACTCTTCCAACCAAGTCCTTGAGTACTTAAGTTAGTAAATACCAAAATTCATTTAAAGTGCTTGCTTAGAATGTGTAACTCCTTGAATCTTGATATCTTTTCCATCCTTAAAGGTTGTGTAGAAGAATGTCTTGACATGACACTCTTCATAACTAATCATGAAGATTTATAACTATTTATTTAACTAAAGTTGTGCCATGTTTGAATGTAATACATCTATGTGTGTGTATATACATATACATACATATATATATATACATATATCATATATATGCACATATACATATATATATGTGTATATATATATACACACACACACACACATACACACACACATATATATATATATATAAAGGCAAAGGAAGCATATAATATATATAGAAGTCACATTTCCATGGAAAAAGAGAACAGGTAAAGCATGTTTACTTCTTAGGAACTAAACTAAATTCCAGCTCAAAACTCTGTCATGTTTTTGGTATTGATACCATGTTTTCAGTTTTTAATTTTTGGTATATTCCATCCCCCACCCCTTTAAAAATAAGTTTGAACTACCTAGGATGAGATTAATAAATATTTGTTCAACCATAACAATCAATTAAGTGAAACTTCTTTCTGTGTCATTGGAACTTGTAAAAGCAGTATTCTAGGAAAAAATTTAGAGTTTTAATGACCTCTTACAGGACATTGGTAATTTCACCTTTAGGGTCTGAAACTATATTTTGGTTTGAAAGTATCTGTGTAGTTCTCTAAGGTTTTTTGCAATCTTCAGTAATAATGATAACCAATATGAAAGATTTTAAACTATAATTTCCATGATACTTATAACTTCATTCAAATATTTGTTATAAAGCACTTTGAAGAATACTGTGAGAAAAATAAAAGATGAGTTAGATGTGTACCTTATCCTCATAAGGGATTTACAGTCTGTAGACCATATAAGCCATATACAACACAAGTTACAAGCTACATGCCGAATTCCATAAGAGAAGTAAAAAGAATATACTTAGGGAGGCAAAAAGAAGAGAGGTAATTTTGGGTAAGAAACTTAGGTTTATGCTTATAAAAGAAGGTCATTTTTTTATCTTGACCTTGAAGAATGTCTAGGATTTGGTGAGAAGGTACAAAAGAATAAGAGGAAAAGAACACAGAGACAGAAGAGTATTGTCATGATTCACAGAAAGGCAGGGCTTTTGTCTGTAATGCATCAGGTGTAAAGTGAAGGAGTAAGGTATGAGGAGATAAAGCAGAAAACGGAGGTAGGAAATCTCATGGAATGCTTTGAATGCTGTTAACCCCAGTACCTCAGAATATGACCTTTTTTGGTAATAGCGTTATTGTAGATATTAACATTGTTTAAGATGAGGTCATATTGGAGTAGAGTGGGGCCCTGATTCAGTATTACTGATACCTTTATACAAGGAGGAAATTTAGCACAGACTCAGAGAGGGTGCCATGTGAAAATGAAGACAGAGATCGGGATGTTCCTTCAACAAGGGATGCCCGAGATTACCAACAGACCACCATAGAACAGTCTTCCTCACAGCCCTGCAAACAACTTCACCTCAGATTTGTAGTCTTCAGAATTGTGAGACAAAAAGAACCTTCTTTTAAAGCCACCTAGTTTGTGGCACTTGGTATGGCAACCTCAGCAATGTAATACAAATATCTACTAAATTATTTTTCATTTTCTGGGAGACTTTGAAGGTCTTTGTGTAGGGAAGTGTCATGTTCAAAACTATATTTTAGGGATTTTAATCTGGCAGCTGGTAAAGAATTAGAGGAGGAGAGAAGGAAAGTATGAGGATTAGTTGATACAATTTTGCAATTACGGTGAGTAATGAGAACCTCATCTCTGCTGGCAGCATTGGTAGCATATCTTAAGATCTACATAATAGGTCACAGATTTTATACACCAGTCAAACAGTGGGTGATACATGATACTGAAAGTGGAGACCTGAGGTACTACAGTTACTCATTTAAGAAGATTAATTTATGTTTAATATAGGTGAAAGGATATGGAGGAAAATCGATCTAGGATCTCATACCGATAGACCATGTAAATTTCAGGTAAAATGCCAGAAAGAAACCTTAAAGAAAAGAGGTATCAACCAATGATACCTGTCCAGCTCCCATCAGCAGAACAAAGTTCATGAGGGAGCCACTGGGTAGTCTCTTTGGTGTCAAGTCATCTTTGCTTAGCTCAGATAAAGTAATTCTCCTTCAATGATCATCTGACTCAAAATCAGCCTCTCTTCCCATTGTAAAAGGGTAATTAGAAATTACAATTACTAAACATCTTTTAAAAAATTCTGCCTCCCTTAAATAATTTCTGATCAAACAGACCTTTAGCCTGTATGCATAGGTCATGTTGGGTACACTATTCTGTGTCTGGAAACCACCCTCAAATCTTAGTGGCCTAACACAACAAAGCTTTATTTCTCTGCCACCCTCTTTTTTCATTAAGGGTATGGCTTTCTTTTCACCTTCACTCCAAGACACAGTCTGATGTATCTCACCTCTGGAATACACCCGTCACCACACAAGGGGATATAAAATGGCGAACAGAGCACTACCTCTGAAAAGTCTCGCTGTGAAGTTGTGCACATCCCTTCTATGCACAAACCTAGTCCTACACTACTCATGGGTATGGGTTTATTTTGTGGTGATGACAATGTTCCAAAGTTAGTGGTGATGGTTACACAATTCTGAACATACTAACATCCACTGAAACGTACATTTCAAAAGGGAGAGTTTTGTGGTATGAGCATTACATCTCGATGCAATCGTTATAAAGAAATTCTAAGCCAAGGTTTAAAAAAGAAAACAGCCCCATAGCCACCCCTAATACCAAAGGATAGGTAAGTACAGTCCTACTATACTCCTGGAAGGAAGAAAATTAGAATATTGGTGGTTGGCTATAGTAGCTGCCATGCTCATCTTTGCAAATTCTATTGTAGGACATTTATAGTGAAAGTTGTTTTTACTTCCTAATAAATAAATACAATCTGTTCCAGTAAACAGCTTTTATTACTGAAATCTCAGGTTTCTAATGTAGAGTTTTCAAATACAGATTATAAGTAAACAAATACACACAGAAGATATCCACAAATTATATGCACACACATAGTCCTGTCTCTAATGTTTGCAGAGCCCTGTCAAGGGTGAAAATGGAGGTCCACATACCAGACACCTAAATATTTAGAAGCTATGAATCAAGCTAACAAGACTGTTCCTGCCCCAAACCTGCCTCTTAAGGCCCTAGGATTCTTGGACTCACCGCACTGAGTGGCAGAGCTGGGAGAGCTGGTCTCAGAGCGCCGTCCCGACCTGTCCCCAAAGACAACCCCCCCGGCTCCTGCAGAGGCACCCCTGGCCAGCCCAGGTATCTGGAATATGCTCTCCAGCTGTCTGTCCATCCTTCTGGGGACAGAGCAAGGAGGGGCATACACGAGCTGGGACAGAGCTTAGCTTAGTCCTCAAGCAAGGGGTCCAGAGTGGGGTCCTCTTGCCTGATTTAGAGGAGGTTTTCTATAAGTATATAGTAAAATTTCAACCCAAAAAATTCTAGGAATGTCTTTAGGAGGTTTCACATGCCACCTTGTGGTATTTTTATGAACACAAAAGCATGATATAGAAGGAAATGGAACTGCTGAGCTATGAAAAGGGGAAAATATATTTTGAATGAAGATAATTTCCTGATTAGAAAAGTTATTTTTAAATATTATGATCAACATTTCTAGTGTAAAATTTCTTATATTACCATCTAAACTTACTACGTGCTTAGCTCTGGGATTCACTCATACACTCAAAAAAGGTGTGTAGTAAATACCTACTGTGTTCCAGGTACAATTCTAGCACTGAGGTTAGTGAGAAACAAAACTCCCTGCCGTCTAGAGCTTACATTCCCAGAGGGTAGTGAAACAGTGACCAGTAGTTCTAAATGAGTACGTTTCTTTACTTACATTCAATCTTAAAATACCACTGATGGCCTTTGTACTAACAGATGTCATTTTGGGATCCCTATCTTAAGCCTTGAAAACAGCATAAATGTTCTGTTCTGCTTATTTTATGACAGTGTAGAAAGTTGTAATGTTTTATTCAGAGGTCTAAAAAGGACTAGGGTCACTTCCAGTTGGTGTTTCTGTTTCTGACCATTATAATTAAAAATCAAAATAAGAACTTAAAGCAAACTTTTTTTAACTTCTGTTTTCTACAAATGCATTTATTATTGAGAGGGAAACGATAGCTTTGTGCAATGTTACAATTGATGTTAAGCAGGCAAAGATCAACTCAGTGCCATAAAATTAAGAAGTATCTAAATATGGTAGCTTGCTCTGAGCTTGAGGCCCAGGCCAAACGGTTCTTCTGCTTCCTCTAACCCCTCAACGTCCTCTAAACTCCCTTTCTTAACTTCCTTAGCCCCCATTAAAGCTACCCCTTTGTGTACCCACCCACAACTTGTATAGAAGTTGAGGAGCACTGGGTCCAGGGGACTTCCCTGACTGACCACCTCATTGTCTAGACCTTGAAGGTCCTTGTGAGAGAGCCAGTTCCTTGGCCAGGTGGGATCTGGAGGACACCAGGTAGCTGGTGGCAACATGACTCTTCTCCCCTACATCCCAATAAAGCCTCTCTCAGTTCTGGGGGAAAAGGTCCCAGGAATTGAGGTAGAGAGAATGGAGGAGAAAGGAAAGGAAAGAAAATCTCATTCCACTCCTGTACCGTTTTCTTACAGTGGTGGAGAGAAAAATAAATGGAATGGCTGTCTTCCTCCAATACCATGTTTTCTTACAGCATTGTAAGGTCTGGTTTTCTGGGCAGTTTTTTCATTCTGGGTTTTTGTTCTTTCAATTTAGAATTCCATCTCTCTCTCTCTCTATATATATATATGTATATATATGTTCATACATATATATATACGCATATATTGAGCTTTCATTTTATGCAGTAAATGAACAGTTATAAAATAATCATGGTGGTGGTTTATGTGACTTGGTCATAGCAGTGGCAAATCTGCCGAGGCTTTGAGAATAGGACTTAGAGTCTCAGCCTCTGTTAAGTCATACAGATCACAAACTATGTTTAATAATCACTAATTTCACTTGAGATAGTTAATCTGTTATGGGTTAAAGGGGGAATGGCTTCATTTTACGTTATGTGAAAAGACATAAGCTCCAGAATATATTAAAAAACTCCTAAAACTCATCACACAAAAAGGCAACGAACCAATTTAAAACTGTACAAAGGACTTGATTATATATTTCTCCAAAGAAGAAATACAAATGGCCAAGAAGCACAGGAAAAGATGCTCAACATCATTAGTCATTAGGGAAATGCAAATCAAAACCACAGTGAGGTATCTTCTTTGCACCTACTAGAATGGCTGTAATAATTTGAAAAAAAAAAGGAAGATAACAGGTGTTGATAAGAACATGGACAAATTTGAACCCTTGGACATTTCTGGTAGGAATATAAAATAGCATGGCCATTATGGGAAACAGTTGGGCTGTTCCTCAAAAAGCTAGACAGAATTACCATATGACCCATCAATTCCACTGCTAGGTATATAACCAAAGGAACTGAAAGCTGGGACTGGGACAAACCTTGTAAACCAGTGTTTATTGCAGCATTATTCATAATAGCCAAAAGGTGGAAACACTCAAGTATCCATCAACAGATGAATAGATAAACAAAATGGGATATATACATAAAATGGAATATTAGCCATCAGAGGAATGAAGTTCTGAGTAATGCTACAACATGATTGACCCTTTAAGGTAATATACTAAGGGAAATAAGTCAGGTACAGTGGTCAAATACTATGTCATTCCACTTATATGAAATATCTAGAAAAGGTAAATTCATAAAGATAGAAAATAGATTAGTGGTTACCAGGGGCTAGGAGAGAAGGAATGGGGAGTTAATGCTTAATGGTTAAAAAGTTTTTCTTTGAGGTAATGAAAACATTTTGGAAATAGTGGTGATGGTTGGATGACATAGTGAATGTAATTGATATCATTGAATTATATACTTGAAATGATTAAAATGGTGACTTTTATATATATATATATATTTTATTACAATTAAAAAAATTAATAATACACCAAAAACTATTGGGTTATTCACTTTAAAGGAGTGAATTGTATGGTATGTGAATTACATCTCAATAAGGCTGTTTTTAAAAATTTGTGGGATACAAGTCAACTGTGCTTAGAGGAAAATTTATGATTTATGTCCTTATTTTGGAAAAAATAAAGGTTTTAAAGTAATGAGCTAAGCATTTAATTTAATGTGATAAAAAAGAATAAGTGAATAAGCCTAAAATAAATACAAGGTTTGAAATCATGAAGATAAAAGAAATTAATGGATAGAAAATAAATATATGATGCAAAGATGAACTAAGTTGCTTTCTTGAAAGCACTAATAAGTTGGGACAATGTAGCAAGTCTAATTAGAAAAACCTAGAGAGTTTATAAATAAACAATATTGTGATGTAAAAGGGTCAGAACCACACATGATGCACATATTTAAAAGAGGATGTTACCAGTTTATTCCAATAACTTTGCAATCTTAATGAAATGGGTAAATTCTAGAAAACTTTAACCTGCCAAAGTTGTTCAAAAAGAATAAGCCAGACGACTTTACCAACTTTACCAAACATTTATAACAAGGTTTAAGGAATACATAATTTTAATATTGCACATATTATTCATAGTGTAGAAACAGAAGGAATGCTCCTTAAATCCTGGCATGAGGGTGGCATAATCTTGATATCAAAATCTGAGAAGATTGAATGAAGAAGGAAAATAGCAGGCCATTAGCTCATGAACACAAATATGAAGAGGAAAAAAAAATTAGCAAACTGAATCCGTGACTTGTGACAATATACATTATGACCAAATTGAGTGGATCCTCAAAATGCATGGTTGGTTTAAAGTTAGAAAAGCAATTCATAGAATTAACAACTGCATTTCTAAGAGACATGGCTAAAAGGAGATGAAAAACACAAAATGGTTTTAATTGAAGATCATTTAAGAAACGTTGAAGAAGGATTAATGGAACTCATGAGGGGCAGTGGGAAACTGGTGACCAGCAGTAGCCTGAAGTGGCAAGGAGAGGACATGCCTAGTGAGAGATGGAGTAATGGAAGAGGATTTAACCACAGTATTTGTAAACCATAGAGGAATGCAACTTCTGCCAGAGCCATAGCAAGTTAGAACTGTGACAAGCACTGTCAAAACTGTGACCAATGGGGAGTACCACCCTCTCGTCTCCTGCTAGTGCCTCCGACTTGTTAGCTATCATGGGAAGCCAGGGGCAAGGGAGCTTGGAGATTAAGCAGTAAAGATCAGCCTCCTAGAGAACAGAGGAGAAAAGGGCAGAGAAGGAATTTGGGGCATGCACTTTGAGAATAGCCAGCTAAACCGTATGGCCAGATGTAAGAAGAAAAGTTATATTATTATCTATTTGGCAAACATTTTCTGCAAAGGGCTAACTGAATAGTAAATATTTTCAGCTTTGCAGCCCATAGAGTCTCTGTTGGAACTACACAATTCTGCCTACAATTGTAGTGTGAAAGCAGCCATATATGTGAAACAAATGAGTTGTGGCTATTTTCCAATAAAATTTTATTTACAAAAAAAAAATTGAGGGCTGGATTTGGTTTGTGGGGATAGTAGTTCATAGATCCTTGATCTAGTAGATGCAGAAGTATCTGCTGAATATTAATATTCATTTGAAATAAAATCTTAGCAAACTCAGAAGGACATTTCCTTATCCTGATAAAGTTTATGTTATTAAGAAAAAACCCTATAGTAAGCATTTGTTCTTAATGAAGAAAACATTTTAAAGTATTCTCTTTAAGATCATGAACAAGACAAGTATCACTGTTATTGGAGGTTCTAGCCAGCATATTAAGGCAAGAAAAAAGTAAGAAAAGTCATAAGATTGGAAAGAAAGCTGATCCTATTTGCAATAGAAATAATCATCCACATAAAGAACTAAATGAAGAATAAAAAGAACCTAATAAAAAATGGGCAAAGGTGTTGAATAGGTCTCTTCATAGAAGAGAAAAGTGGCCCCTGCAAATATCTTTTGTTGGCCCTTATACACCAACTTTTCATTCTTCTTCACCCTGTGCTCTGCCCAGGATCCTGGCCTAAGCAGAGGCCCCCATTCCCTGACTTCCAGCTGGATTTGGCCAATGCGTATTCCTGGAAGAAGATCAGCAGGAGGGAGGAGAATGAAATTGAGGTATTTGTTCTCAAATGCAATTTAAAACCATTATTAAAAATTATCATATTGGGAATAATTAAAAATATTAGCCATGTCCTTTTACATTTAGGGGTGGAAACAACTCTATTGCTGACAGTCTGGGTTCTACACCCTGTTCACATCTTTGTACCTTTGATCATCCTGACTTGTCATTTTTTTTCCTTATGTAATCCTGATGCAAACAATAAACATGTTAACAGATGCTCAATCTCACTGATAGCCAGAAAAAATGCAATTTAAAACCATTATTAAAAATTATCATATTGGGAATAATTAAAAATATTAGCCAGGATGTAGAACAGACTACACCGTTCTACATTATTGGTGAGTGTATAAATTCATACAGCTATTTTGGAAAAACAATATAGCATTATGTAGCAATTATGTTGAAGATGCACAGGCCTATCATCCCATGCTTTGTATCAGGAAGTATGTTCAAGAATGTTTAAAGGAGGATTTTTTGTACTAGCAAAACCTTGGAAACAACACTGATATCCATCAGTAGAATAAATTGTGGCATATACATGCAATGTAATACTAAGTAGCAGTGAAAATGAATACATCTTTTTTTCCAAGAAGCATGGATGAAGTGAGAAACACAACAGGGACAGAAAAATCAATTTACAAAGGAAGGTGACACATGAGCAAAGTTTTGAAGAAAGCGAGAAAAGGAGCCATGTATACACCTGGAGGAAGGGCATTCCAGAGTGAGAGAGACAGCAAATGCAAAGGTACAGAGCTATTTCTGTGTCTGGTGTTTTAAGTAATAATAAAGGGGCCCATAACACTTAAACAGAGAAAGAGAGAGCATAACAGGACATCAGAGAGATAAAATAGAATAAATTGTTCCAGACCTTGTGGGCCATTTGTATGGACTCTGTTTTTAGTCTGAGTAATATGGGAACTCCCTGAAAGTATTGGAGAACCATGGCATGATCTTATCCTTTTTTTTAGACAATCACTCTGGCAGCTGGGATGGAAATGGACTGAGAAGGAGTGATGGAGGACTGACGAGGAGGCTGCTGTGGTATTTCAGGTGAGAAACAATGAGGGCATTGGTAGAAAGGGGGCAGAGCAAAATGGTTAGTATGTGTTGTGTTTTGAAGCTGGATTAAACAATTTGCTGATGTGGGATGCAGGAATTTAGAGGAAGAGAGAGTCTATGATGAGTCTAAACTTTTCAGGCTTACATAACCAGAGGATAGAGCTGCTGCTGAGATGAAGAGGACTAGGAGGAAAAGATTTGGGCAAGAAAAGAGAAATTCAGTGTTAAGTATGTTGAGTTAGAGATGCTTATTATACATTTGAGTGGATCTGTTGGGTAGATATTTGGATCTAAGAGCCTGGAGTTCAGGGAATAGGAATTCAGCATTCACTTATACGTAGTTCAGACCTCTCCAAAATAAAAGTCTCATTAATATGTGTCCCTTTGGAGAGGCCACAACATTCTCTTCGCTGCAGAGATGTGCACTTTCCATTGACCTGCCAACCTTCTTATTAATCACCGCTGAGGAGGCAGCCATCCAAACATCTGTGATGGATTATATGTGCTCTATGGCATTATTTATATTACCTGGCAGAGCAAGCAGATGCTCAAGCAAGTTTCCGAGCTTTATGAATGATGGCAGCTGGTCATACAGTCCCTTTCCCCTTTTGATGGATGTGGCTGATGCTAACATCACATTTAAGGGAGTATAAATAAAGTAAGCATGTTCTCAAGAATCTCATTTTCATCTGCCAGAGGAAATGGAATGAGGCAGAATATGAATCTTTGTGGTGACTTATTCTTTTGCGGTCACATAGTATTTTGTCTTTGCTGAGGAATTTATAATCCAGTGTATTTTATATAGAATTTCTGATATTGTTCCAATATCATTTTCCTATTTTCACCTGAATTTTCAATTTGAAAACTGGAGAGAGAACGTTCTTTTTTTTTCCAGGACAAGACTCAGAAATTTCCTTGGACTATCTTCTATTCCACCTCACCAACTTGAAGTTGTTAGCTTTAATTCTAAATCTGCCTTTGAATTCCTATCAGTGAATAATAGAATCTAAAAGTCTTAGCGTCATATGTAATTTTACTAAGATACCTAAATTGTCAAGGTCACTGGATATAGGCGCTAACTGAAGTATTTCAGTTCTCTCAGAGGAGGAAGCTGTGTTTAGCTCCAGCGGTGAAGACTTTTATTCCAATTGTGCCGAATTCCTGGAAGGTCACGTGTAACTAGGGAAGACAGTGGGCACTGGAGGCAGCAAAAAAGCAGAGAGGTGAGTGTTTTCTGTTCTCCTTACGCACATCTTCAGCTCTTTGCATAGCGAGCTTCACTCTCTCCCAGGTGGGAGGCCTTCTTCTGTCCGTTAAGTTTTGAATCTTCCAGACTGTGGCATCCTGAGCTGAGGAAGCTAAGGTGGGGAGTAGATCTACCTGGTGGTGCGATGGGGGTTTATTCACAGCAAGAGTACACTACCAAGCAAGGAGATGCTCCTGTGGGACACAGATTTCCACACACAGAAAAAGGTTTCCACACCTGTGGGCCTCTCCCTGAGCGCTGTTGCTGGACACCCTGGGGCAGGGCATAGAGCTGGCCTGAGCAGGACAGCTGCAGGTGTTTTCGCAAGTGTGAAGCTGGGGAATTACCTAGTCCCTTGGAGGAGCAGGAGAGTTTCAGTACTTGAAGGGGCCGGGACTGGTTTTGGAAGCCTTGAACTAACATCTGCATGACACCATGGTGACAGGGGGTTTTCATGCCTTGGGGAAAACTTTACCTGGCTTGAAGATGATAGTATAGTTTTTTTAAAAAGAGCTTTATTGAGATATAATTCACACACCATAAACTTCCTTCATTTAAAGTGAAAATTGAATGGTTTTTAGTATTCACAGACTTGTGATTTTAGTCATTTAATACAGGAACTTTAATTGTAAACACCTTGAAACCAGCCTTGCTGAGGGCTGGCAGGAGAGAAAGGAAGGGAGGAACACCTGCCAGCCACACTCTTTTTAGTATTCTTCCCTTCCCTTGGATTCTGTCTCCACGGAATCCATGCCTACCTCTTCACAATCTTTCTCCAGAGCTGCCAGGTCGTCCTGGGCCTTAGAGAATTCCCCTTCCTCCCTGTCTTCCCCCATATACCAGTGTATAAAATTCACTTGCTGTACATGAGATCAGACCCTGGTTCGGGTGGGCTCAGGCCTCAGGTGAAGGCAGTGGTGTTACCCGGCACGCACACCACCCACTGCTCCTCGGTCAGGCTTTCCCTGGGATGATGGTTGGGGGGCAGGTAGTTGATGCACACCTTAAATCCAGATGGGCACCAGTGTACAAACGGGATGATATATGATATGCTTGGTAGTGATCGCTGTGTTGATATCTTTTGGGACCACATTCTCCCCTGTCCAACATGCAGCAGGCTGTGTACTTCCCATGGTAAGGGTCAGACCTGACCATCGGGTTGGCTGGTTGAAATCTAGGCCATGGGTGGCTGCTCATGGGAGGCCTTCTCCACTGTGATGAGCAGGGTGTAGTGGCCAGGGGGGAAGTGGATGCCGAAGTTTGGGATTAGATTGGTCGAGAATTCCATCAAGTCCATGTTCAAGGCCCCATTGAATCTCTGGAAGATGATGATGGTGGACATAATCTGTCCAGTCAGATGATTGACATTGGTGTATGGGGGCCGTTCAATATCTAGGCTGTGCTGACATAATGTTTACCTTAGTGATCATGAAGGCACAGTCAGAATGTTCCAGTGTTCTGTGGTCAGGATGGAGTTGTAAGGTTCCTCCATGGCCATGGAAACCTGGGGGTCTGGCAAATTTGAGCTTGGCCTTCTTGCCATAGACAGCTGAGAGCCATTCCATGAGCAAAGATGCAAACACAGAGCCGGTGCTGCCCTAAAGCCATGGAAGATGAGGAAGCCCCACATCCCTGGCACAGATCCACCAGTTTTCAGATCCAGTCCAGGGCCAGGTCAACAAACTCCTTGCTGATGGTGTAATGGCCTCTTGCATAATTATTGGATGTCTTCCTTCTTGGTGTTCAGCTGCTCTGGGTAGAAGTGTTGCCTGTAGATCCCTGTGTGCACCTCACCCACCACGGTGGATCCAGGTCCACAAACTCTGCTCTGGGCACAAGCTTGCCAGCCCCAGTCTCACTGCAGAATATGCTGGACAAGTTATGCCCACCGCTGATATTTTTGTCAGTTGGCATTTGACCATTGAGATAAATCCATGTTCAAGGTAATACAGTTCCCAGGAGGCACTGTCAGTCTGAACAACTTCCTTCCCACATGCACCAGTTTGCATCATGGAATAGTCACTCTCCCACCTCTTCTCAGTCCAATGCCAACTACACAACTATTTATTTTTTGGCTTACCCTAATTTTAATTTGCTTTTACTTCTTAAAACAGCAATAGATTAACAAAATACACAAATGATTTTGAATGACATGTGTATTTCTTTGTGTATTTCTTTAAAAAATACACATGTGTATTTCTTTAAAAAAAAACCTCAGCTAAACAATTTCATGATTTTTCTGTTCTTTGGTTAGAGAATAGTGACTATTTGCCAAAAGGACATGGATACATCATGACACCTGACATTCCAGATATTTTCAAATACCTGGGTGCTTGGCATGATGTAGACATAAAGACTGGATGACTAGTGGCATTTTAAATTATTCTTCTTGAAAACAGAGCCATTATTCACAGAATAGCATCTCTTTTATGTGTGCACAAATCCATGCAAATATTGTACTAAGTTTTACCACCAGATGTCAGCCATTCACTGCACTGGTAATAACTACCCTGAAGAAATCTTTATAAGGAATCTATGTGTGTGGATATTTCCATTCCTCCTTTCCTCTGTCCTTTCATTCCTTCCTACCGTGACTGTCAATCAGTCACCTACTGATCTCTCATCTATTTATTTATAATGCACATATCTATTTTAATCTACCTAAATAATGAAAAGGATATACCAGAGATTTTTAAGGAAAATAACACAATAAAGAGTGTAAATATTTACATATACAAATGTGAACATGATACTACAATGTTTTCTAAACTGTGGTCTGGAATTCAGGCCCTTTTCAGTGTAGGAACTTTGAGACCAATGCAATATTTTGCAGCCTTTGTTAATACTTTCAACTATTACTGAGAACCCTCATGTTTTGGAACTTCTATGAGATTCTTGTTGTCATTCTGGAATTATATTCTTATTGAAAGAGTATGCAACATTTTGAGAAAACTATGCAATATTTGATTTTTTGGAAGAGCTCTAACATGATTAAGAAGCAAATTAACCATTGGAGAACTATGCAAAAAGAATTTTCCCCTACCAACAACTTCTAGTTTAACTTTTTTTCTATCAAATGCCTTCTTGAACTAACATGTATCTTCTGTAATCCCTCACTCCAAACTTTGTCAGGTTCCTGGCTCTACTTATCACCACTGAACTTAACACAGTGAATTTTTATTTTCTTTCCTCCACTTGATTGTGGGCTACTTGAAGTTTGGTAACTTAGCAGGTATCTATTGATGAATGAATTTTATCCTCTAAACGTGGATGGTATAGTGAGACTATAATGGATTGTTGGTCGCCTACTCAGCAACAGTTGTCTTCTATCTTTCCTTCCTGCACGAATTTTTTTAGGTGTTTAGCACTTCTCTTGTGGAGCCATGGACTTAGGCTAAAGCTGATCCCACCAAAGCCTCCTGCATGGGCCTGAATGATCTAAAAATAATCCAATTTCATTTGCTCAGGATTAGCTCAGAAATGACGGTGAGATGCATATTAGGGAAAATTTTCTTAGAAGGTTCAAGGAAAACTTTCCTCGCTCCTGAAAGAGTGTACTACAGGGAGCATTGGCAGATAAATCTTTGCAAATCCATTGTCATCTCTGAAAAAGAAAGTGCTAATAATGTCCTTGTGTTCCTGAATCCTTATGTGGAGTTGATATAGATATGGGGAGAGTAGAGGAGTCTCAAATTTTCAGACACCTACTAGAGACATCTTCCATATTTCACAGAAAAGGACATCATAGAAAATGAAAGCAACAAGGAGTAAAACATCTATGTTTTACTCTATGTGTCTCTAGAGAGAGGGAGAGAGAGAGAGAGAAAGAATTCTGATGTTATCCTTTGTGGCCCTAGATCCTCTTACCCTAGAATTTTAATAAGCCAATGAGCCATAAATTTCTCTGTCTCTTATTTTTTGCATAATTATAGCCAGATGAGATAAGAGCTTTGATAGAGGAAGTCCGTGTAGGTGGCTAGAAAATTGTTGAGAAGCCAGGAGGGCTGTAAGGACATGGCCATTTGAGAAAGAAGTTGAATATGGCTTCTTTTTGCAGTGAGGCTGCTGGGGAAAGTTGAGGGTGGGAATGAAGGAATAAGATTGAGATGAGGCTGGAGAAGTAAGCAGGCTTCTTGGGACAGAACTCTTTTTGGCATTCACCTCTCTTTTCTAGGTTTAAGCAGAAAATTCAGTGCCTTGGTGAAACTCTTCAAGATTTCTGTGAATTTTATGACTGTTGGGAAATAAACTGAACTTCATCAAAATTAAAAACTTTCCTTGGAAAACAAGGTTGAGGGAATTAAAAGGTAACAAATGATAAAGGACGTTTATCCAATGTATATAAAAAGACAACAGCCATTTCTTAAGAATTTAGACTAATTTGTGATTTTATTATAATTTGTTCTTTTCTTTGTTCAGTAGAGAAAGTAATTTTTTTTACTTTTACTAGCTGACCTCAGTATATTAATATATATGATAAAATCAAGTATATCAAATGCAGTTAAATCCAAATTCCTCCTCATGGTTATTATGCCTTATACTGCAATCATTTGTAGGCTTATTTTAGTTCCCTTGCTAGATTACAAACCCTCAAGGGCAAGACTGTGCATCTTGTATTTTACCTGTTGAATGAATCCTTTGGCTTTTCATTTATTTAATTTTTTGTTGGCTAAAATATGGGTAAATATTTTATTACAGTTGTGAGAATTATAGTTGAGCTTTTAAGAAAGGAGCATTTCCTTCCTAATGGAGGCCAAATAAGTCTCAGAACAAGGCTCTAGAAATTTGAAGCTCTTAATGATTTCTGTGAATTTTGTGACTTCTGGGAAATGGAATAATATGAGAAAATAAACTGAAAAAATCAAAATGCCAGAAACTAAATCAACCGTAAAAGTCATTGGGGTTAGTATAACTAGATTAGTCAATTTCTTTCTTTGGGCTTCATTAAGAAAAAAATCTATTAGTGTATGTAGTAGG